CCCCAAAACCCCAAAACCCCAAAACCCCAATTTAACTTCAGATAATTGCATAATTAAATTTCACTAAAATGGATCAAAAGCTTGATGAGCTAGCCCAGAAACTTGATCTGGAAAGTATAAAAGACAAGACTCTGATGCAGACTATTCTCAGTAATTTTGATAAGGCAAAATCCCAACTATCTTCTCTCCAAGAACTTGAAGATTCCAACTCAAAGAAACTAAGCCATTTTGAATCTTCCCAGAAAAGAATGGAGAAACTTCTAAATCAAGGTAAGTTTACTTTAATAACCTTCATAGTTGAAAACTTGAAACTTGAGAAAGCTAGTCTAAAGGATTGGAACAGAAATTTACAAGAAGAAGTAGAAGAGCTAACAGGGATCATTGAAGATTTGAGGAAGCAGAGTCAAGAACTGCAGGACACCAATTCAGAGATTCTTCACGAAAATGATCACCTGGATAAACAGGCTTCTAGCTTCAGAGGGAAATATGAATCATTAAAAGAAGAGATTGTTAGGATTAAACAGCAGAATGAGAGCCATGTACTCAAAAACATGGGGCTTCAGGATGAACTCAATTCTGCTAAGGTCTTAGAAAACTCCCAAAGCTCTCAATATTGCTTGTAAGTTTTATGAAAATTTCAGTAAAATTTTTATTCCCTTGCATGGAGTTATTAGATTTATCAGTTAAAATTCTCTTAGTAATCAACTGAAGTAGAAGTTTTTTGGTCAAATTTCAATCATAAGGTTAATTTTTCAGCTTAAATTATGAACTCCTACTGAAATTTTAAAAAGTTTATTTGTCTTAATCTCTTGCCAAATTTTTGAAATTGGTTCATTAATAATCTAGAAATTCCAAAGAAGAATGTTCCAGCAGACTTAAAAATCTTGAAGATGAGAATAAAGCTCTTAAGAGAGAAAAAGAAAGTTCTGAGGCGACTATATCTTTTCTCAATGCAGAAGACACTAAGAAGGACAAAATCATCCAGGACCTCAAGAGCGAGCAAGCCTCTCAAAAATCCCAATACCAAGTCTCTAAAGTAAAAATGCTTGAAATTACTGAAGCCAATGATAAACTTAACCACACAATTACCCAACTCAAGAACCAAGCCACTGCTCAAGAAGAAAAAGTTAAGAAAATCCAAGCTAAAAACCTCGCTCACCTCTCTAAACTTGACCAACTGGATGTAGCCAAGAAAGCCTATGGGGAAAAGCTTAAGAAACTTGAAGAGAAGACCTCTAAGCTAGAAGAGAGGAACAGCAAGCAGATTGCCAAGTTTAGAGAAGTTAAGCAGGAACTTGAGAAGGAGAGAGAGGCAGTGAAAGGAGTTATGGAGCAGATTGAAGGAGTGGGGATTGGATTTGAGCAGGAGGATGGGTGAGTAATGGGGTTTAGAAGGGGAATGATGGTTTGTTTAGACTGGAGAAGGTTGTTGATGCGGTGAAGAGGCTGAAAAATGAGAATTTGGAAGTTAAGAAGAGTTTGGAACAGAAAGAAGTGGAAATTAAGAAGATTTCGGTAGAGCTTCAAGAGTCTTTTGGTAAGATTTTAGTTGAAGATTATTTCTTCTATTGTTTTCTTATCTTTCTTGTAGATCACACTCTCCACACCTTCCAAGCAGAAGCGACCTCTAAAGCTAATGATCTAGCTATTGAGAAGGAAAGCCAGATACAGACCCTTAAGGAAGAGAACAGAGTTCTTAGTGAAGTTTGCAAGAAGAAGGTGACTGTTCTGAAGAAGATAGCAGAAGAGGTTTATAAGAAGAAGATGACAATGGTGCAAGAGTTTGTGAAGGAGAAGGCCGCTGAGGATCTGTTGGAGTTTGAGGATCCAGATTTTGAGGGGAGTGAAGAAGAGGAGAAGGAGTGTATGGAGAGGTAGGACTTGGGATATGGAGATTTTAATTGGTTTAGAGATGTTTTAAGACCGATTGAAGGAAATAAGCATTTTATTTCTAAGTCCTCTAGTAAAGTTCAGATCTCCTATCTTGAGGCACCTAAGGCCATTCAGAAAAAGACTGAGTCTTCTCATAAGATTCAGAAATGCCAGAGCGATAGCTCAGTTGTCATAGAAAATCACAAGATGCCTTATAGTGGCCAAGAGAATGAGGTAAGCACATAAGAACAACTTTAGAGTGAAAATGTAGCAAAGATGTAAATTAAGTTGCATAATACCAGAGTTCAGTAAATCCAGGAGTCAGGATCTTGAAATTTAGAATTTCGGTTCAATTTTTAGCATTAAGTAAGGGGTTTTGGGGTTTTGGGGTTTTGGGG